TAGGGTCTCAGGGTTGGGTTTCTTGTGTGGAAGGTTCCTTGTGGACGGGCCTCCACTGTAGAAGGGCCTGGGAGCTTCCAAGAGGGCTTCTCAGAGCCAGGAGAGCAGTTCCCCCTCCCGCCTTGCCAGGCACCAGGACGTGGCGGAGGCGCAAGGGGGTTCTCGGGTGGTCTCGGGGTGTGCGCGGTGGGCTTCGAGGGTTCCGGGGGCGAGGGTGGAGGGGTGGAGGGCGGGGGGTAGGAGGGAGGGAGGGACGGAGGCGGAGGGAGGGAGAGGCTGGAGGAGGAAGGGGGTCGTCACGATGATGATGATGATGATGATGATGATGATGATGATGATGATGATGATGATGATGATGATGATGATGATGATGATGATGATGATGATGATGATGATGATGATGATGATGATGATGATGATGATGATGATGATGATGATGATGCTGATGATGATGATGATGATGACGATGATGCGTATGATGTTGATGATGATGAAGATGACGATGCTGACGATGATGCTGATGATGATGATGCTGATGCTGATGATGATGATGATGGTGATGAAGCAGATGTTGATGCTGATAATGATGATGATGATGATGATGATGACGATGCTGCTGCTGATGACGATGATGCTGATGTTGCTGCTGCTGATGATGATGCTGATGCTGCTGATACTGATGGTGATCATGATGCCGATGCGGATGCTGATGCTGATGATGACGTTGATGTTGATGATGATGCTGTTGCTGCTGAGGACGAGGCTGAGGATGATGTCTATGTTACAGACATGTTGCTTATGATTATGGTGGTGTTGCTGCTGCTGTCGACGATGATGATGCTGAGGACGATGATGCTGATGGCGGCGGTGTTGATGATGCTGATGATGATGGTGATGATGATTGTGACGATGACGATGAGTGTGACGGTGACTGTGACGGTGATGGTCGTGATTATGGTAGCGGTTGTGTTTGGGTGACTTCAGCGACGACAGCATGACGACCGCATGAGTATTGAGATGATGACGACGACGATGCTGCTGCTGCTGATGCAGATGATTTTGATGTTGCTGCTGGTGCTGATGAGGATGATGATGCTGGCGCTGATGATGTTGGTGCTGCTGCTGAGGATGAGGCTGATGATGATGCTGATGCAGATGAGGATGAGGATGAGGATGAGGATGATGTCGATGGAGCTTTTGATGATAGTGATCATTCTGATGATGATGCTGATGATGATGATGACGATGATATCGATGGTGATGATGATGCTGATGATGATGATTAGTATGATGCTGTCGAGTACGATGATGCTGAGGTTGATGATGATGATGATGCTGATGATGCTGATGATGAGACTGATGCTGATGGTGTTGATGATGATGCTGATGATGGTATGATGCTGAGCATGCTGATGTGGTGGCTGATGATGATGCTGATTACGATGGTGATGATGCTGATGGTGTTGTTGATCATGATGACGATGATGATGCTGATGATGATGACGATGACGATGACGATGGTGATGATGATAATGCCGATGCTGCTGATGATGCTGATGATGATGATGATGATGATGATGATGCTGATGCTGATGATGTTGATGATGATGATGATGATGATGATGATGGTGGTGGTGGTGGTGGTGATGATGATGATGATGGTGATGATGATGATGATGACGACTAATGATGATCCAGTGTTTTCTGGAAGCTGTCGCGCGTGGCGCAAACAGACGATGCAAGGCCCACTCAGTGGAGGGCCATGCGCAGTGGCGCCCCCCGTGGCTTGGCATTGCTCGGACACCTGCATGTTTTATCGGCCAGGGCCATCGGGGAGCATCTAGGATCATCTTGCGACAAGAGCGCGCGACTCCGAAGCATGCACGGGGAATGGACTTCCGAGCGACGGCAAGGTAGTCGTTTGGGCTCAAGCCGTCCTGGCTCGGGGAGGCCACTGCTGGTCACCGCCCAGCTCCTGGCCCGCCCCGCCAGCATGGGGCCGCGGCGCCGATGGGGCTGCGAGCGCCTCCCTCGCCCCTCCGCCTCCCCTCCCTCCCCCTTTCTGCTTCTCCTCCTCTGCCTTCGCTCCTCCTCTCCTCTCCTCCAATCCTCCTCCCTCTCTAATCCTCCCTCTCCTCCTCCTCCTCCTCCTCCTCCTCCTCCTCCTCCTCCTCCTCCTCCTCCTCCTCCTCCTCCTCCCCCTCCCCCCGACCGTGGATGCTGGAAGTCTCTAGCCTTGTCCGCTTGAAGTGTCCAGTCCAATCCAATCGTCGTTCTCCTCCTCTGGCTGCGGACAGTGCCGAGCGATCGCCCCAGTGCCCTCGATGACCCGCCTCCCAGCTGGTGCTGGGGGGGGGGGGGGGGCAGGACAGGAGCCAAGAGGAACGACGAGAGGACGAAAGTCAAGGGCCAAAAGCCAAGGGGAGGAGGAGGGGGGGGGGTAGGACAGAAGCCACGAGGACATGAGCCAAGAGATGGGAATGACTGTCCACTCAGAATGATGCTGTACCCCCGGGGGGAGGAGCCGAGGAGCAGGTGGCGCCTGCACAGTGGGGGCCCATGCCAAGAAGCACCCTGCTTGCCTCCAGGGTGCCCTGGGCTTCTCGGGTTTCGCTGGTTTTGCTGTGGAAGGCGTGACGCTCCCACACCGAAACTCAGTGCACGTCCTGTGGTCTCAGGCTTGGGTTTCTTGTGAAAGGTTCCTTGTGGACGGGCCTCCAGGGGGTCTCAGGGTTGGGCTTCCACGCAGAATGATGCTGCACCCCGGGGTTGAGTCGGGCATGTCCCTCTACAGGGGGAATATTCAAAAATACAAAAATCGTCTGGGGACGATTTTCGACAATCTTTCGATTCTGCTTGTATTTCTTGAGTATGTTTACTTTGTCGCCCAAGATCCGCCTGTCCTCCTCCTCCTCCTCCTCCTTCTTCTGCCTCTGCACCCGCGGGGCGCGGGAACAACGCAGACGGAGACGTGGCTCCTGGGCTGCGCGCACGACCCAGAGTGGAGGGCCTACCTGGCCACGCTCTTCTCGGCGGCGCGCCCAGGGGGGCCTGGCAGACGGGCCGGGGCTCCCTCGACAGGCTCAGAGGGCCCCGCGGAGAGGCTGTCTGGACCCTCTCCGACGCCACGTGTTGGCTCCTCGGAGGCCACACAGAGAGCTTCCGAGCAGCCCCGCCGCCTTCCGAGCAGGCCGGCTCCCTCTCGGACGCCGGGCGATTTTTGGTTCATATCGCTGCTCTCCCGTGCCCGTTCGGGCGGCCAATCCTGGCGCCCCCCCGCGGCGCTCTCGGCGAGGCGCAGCCGCTGGGACCCCAGAGGAGGAGGAGGAGGAGGAGGAGGAGGAGGAGGAGGAGGAGGAGGAGCAGGAGGAAGATGAAGAGGAGGAGGAGGAGGAGGAGGAGGAATAATAACAATAAGAATAATACGAATCATAAGAAGAAGAATACTAATAAGAAGAAGAAGACGAAGACGAATAAGAAACATAATAATACTAAGGACTACGAATAGTAAGAAAAATAAGAAGAGGACTAATAAGAGGAGGATTACGATTAGGAATCAGAAGAAGAAGACGAAGAGGACGAACAGGAGGAGGAGGAGGAGGAGGAGGCCGTAGCCATTTTGGCTCAAGTCCGTAGCGTGGCCCAGGCGTCAGCAGCGGACGGAGACTTTCTGGCATTGGGGAGCGCCCGAGAGGCGCACACGGCCCCAGCAGCTTTCCCCTGACATCACCAGTCAGGGCACATTCGGTACTCAACCGCCCTGCTCGTCCTCTTTGCCAGCCACAGCGTGTTGATGGCACCTTGGAAGGATGCGTCGCTTCAGTTTCTTTCTTCGCTCCAGGGGGCCGAGCCCTGGACATGTGGACACTGTGGCACAGGAGGCAACTTCGCGACCAAGATGCAGTGCCGCCAGTGCTTCGCCCCCGCGCCGAAGCACATCCAGGCGGCCATCACGCGTGCGTCCCGCTCCGCTCCAGTGCGGCGACCGTGGCAGACGGCCAACCCCCCAGCTGGGGGCAAGGCCAAGGGCAAGGGCAAGGAGAAGGGAGACAAGGGCAAGGACAAGGGCGTGGCTGGCCCCGCTCCTCGCGGCACTGCTGGCGCTGCTTGGGGCTACTTCGGGGCTGGCACTGACCTGCTCAAGTCCAAGGCAGCCGAGCAGCCCGACCCCATCGCGGTGCTCGACAAGTCGATCGGCATGCTGGAGTCCCTCGCAGACCCCAGCCTCGGGTCCATCATCGAGGCCAAGCGGGCGGAGAGGGCGGCCCTTGTCGCCCAGAAGCGGGCAGGCAAGCCTCTGCACCTGCAGCTGCAGGCGCTGGAGGGCAAGATGGCCGCTGCGCAGCGCAAGCTCGCTCGCCAGCGCGATGAGGTCGTGCCCGAGCTTCAGCAGCGCCTGGCAGAGGCGCAGCGGATGCAGGAGGCGGCCAGCAAGGAGCTGGAGCAGCTGCAGGAGGAGAAGGCTCAGCTGGCCAGGCGAGTGGTTGCTGAGGAGCAGGCCCCAGCTGGGGCAGCGGGCCCTCTCGGCGGTGGCCCCCGCTGCGGGCAGGCGGTCATCAGCCAGCTCGTGGCGAACCTGGAGAAGCTGGTGGGGGACACCGAGGGCGACGGAGACTCGGTGCCCAAGCCGCTCGTGGAGTCCCTCCAGAGCTTGCTCAAGCTGGTCAAGGAGCTCCCTCAGGCCACAGGGGCCCCCGCTGCTGCTGCCGCCGCGCCTCCTGGGGGGCCTGGTGCAGCGGCGGCTGCCGCGCCCCCAGGGGGGCCTGCTGCTGAGGCATCGGCCGACGGCGGCGGCGGATCCGTGGAGGAGCAGAAGCGCAAGAGAGACGAGCTGGTGGACCGGTACCTCAGCGGGCTGCCCGAGGAGGAGCGAGCCGCCAAGCGGGCGGTGCTGGGCTCCTTCTACGACCACCTCGGCGAGGAGGCGCCCCCCCAGGCGCCTCTTTGATGGGCCCGCGGGCCCGCCCTTGCTCGACTGGACCACCTACGGGGACGGCCAGTTCTGGACGAGCGAGGGCCTCTACGAGGAGGAGCTGCACGGGGACGGCTTCGCTGGGGGCGGCGGGGACGCGTACGCTGGCCAGGGCAAGGGCTACTGCGCGCCCGCGGCCATGGGCAGGCCGCCACCGCCCGTCGAACCCAACACCTCTCAGTCCGTCTACCTCGAGGGCAGGTCGCAGCACGGCGGGGATGCCCCAGCTGGACCGTCTCAGAGTTGCCGACGCACTCGGCGAGGAGCTCGCCACGTCATCGCCGCCACCTTCAATGCCAACCTCTCCTGGGCTCGCGTCGAAGAGTTCATGGAAGAGGAGACCGGCCAGCTCATCAAGAGCGGCGGCGTCCCCGTCCTAGCGGTGCAGGAGCACGCGAAGCCCGCCGAGTGGTTCCACGTCACTGCGGCGGCGCAAGAGCGACGGGGCTGGCGAGTTGTGGGTGCGCCTGCCGTGCGCACGGCAGAGGGCGGCTACTCCGCAGGAGTGGCGCTGGTCACACCGCGCTGCCTGAGCCTCAGCCTGGCGCCAGGCCAGGCGTCGTGGGACATCTCCCCCGCGGGCGCCGCAGGCAGGCTGTGCCTGGGCATGACCGAGGTCAAGGGCATTGGCTGGGTGGCCTTTTTCTCGGTGTACTTGTTCACGGGCAAGCCCGTCACCTGGGCCTTGAACGCGGCCCTGCTGGACACCATCGTGCACTGGGTCTGCCAGATGAGGATCCCCTGGATGGCCATGGGTGACTTCAACAATGAACCGCACGCCATCCGCGACAGCCCCTGGAACCAGGAGGCCAAGGGCCAAGTTCTGGCCTGGCAAGGGGAAGGTGGCACATGCAGGTCCAAGGTGGTAAAGCAGGGCGTGGAGGAGTTCAAGGATCGGGTCATTGACTTCTTCTGGATGGATGCGAGGCTGGCCGTGATCTTCTGCCCAGTGAAGTCCTTCGAGAACATGCCCTACAGGCCGCACAGGCCGACTTGGATCCGCGCCGACAAGCCCTGGCACGCATGCCAGATCCAGGTCCTCAAGGGCCCGAAGCAGTACCCCATCACTAGGCCACCACCTGTCAGGCAGCCCGAGATCCCGCAGGGCTACCCCAAGCTCGACCTGCTCCACGGCTCGCAGCAGCACCTGGACCAGTGCTGGAGGGGGTTTTGCTCTGCAGCTGAGGCCGAGCTTCGATCGCTGTTCGGCTGGGCAGAGTCGGAGGCACGCAGGTATGAAGGCCGAGGCTTGACTCCCGAGGTGGTGCAGAGACAGCTTCTTCCGAAGCATGACAGCCCCGTGGCTGATCGAGGCCCAGCCAGGGCCTGGCGTTGGGCCGCGGGGGAACTGGCCTGGATTGGCCAACTCGTCTGCTGCGTCTTGCGGGGCCAGTCGGTGCCCAAGGCCAAGTCGGAGGCCCCAGCAGGCCAGGCTACCACCTCGGGAGAAGGGCCTCCTCGATCCTACAAAGAGGAGGTCACAGGCCAGCTCAGACGGGCCTGGAGGAAGCTGTTCCAGGCGAGGCACCACTGGGACCAGCTGGAGCCCTGGAGCGCGGGGATACTGCCAGCGCTGCGCACCATCGCCGACGTGGAGCCCCACATCATCGGCGCGCAGGCCATCTTCGCGCTGCAGCAGTTCGCCAAGGTGCGGGCCCAGACCTGGGAGCAGCACCTCATGCGGCAGCGCTCCAAGAGGTTCTACGAGCGCCTGAGCGCGAAGTTCCCTGGCTCGGGGGGCTACCTGCACCGCATCTGCCACTGGAAGCAGGCGTGGAAGGAGCCCATCTCGTCGGCCAAGAAGCTGAAGCTGCCAGCGGACCCGCAGCTCGCGGTCGCTCAGGAGGCGCAGGAGTGGGCTAGCATTTGGCGCGCGGGGTCAGGTGACTACACCAAGTTGTGGCAGGACACTCAGGTCCAGGCCCAACGGATGGCCCACGCGCAGGTGCTGCCCACCATCGACGCGATGCAGGTGCGCACCATATGCCGCAGCTACAAATGGAAGACTGGGCTCGGGCTTGACGGCTGGCACTTTGGGCACCTGGCCTGGCTCAGTGACGAGGCCTTGAACAGCCTCGGGGACATCCTCATGCTGTGCGAGCGGCTCTGCTCGTGGCCCACGGCCATACGCATGCTCATCCTTTTCCTGGTCGCCAAGGAGGACGGCGGCGGCAGGCCCATCTTCCTTTTTCCCACGCCAGTGCGCATCTGGGAGGCTGTTCGTGATCCCTTGATTCGGCAGTGGGAGCGGGCCCACGTGAGGCCTTACGACTGGGCATCACCAGGGCGCAGCAGTGAGCATGCGGTATGGAGAGCGATGTTGGATGACGAGGCTTTGGAAGGTACCTGTTTCGCGTCCCTCACCGCATTGATGGATTTGGAGAAGGCATATGAATATGTAGCGCTCAACTTGATTTGGATTCTCGGCATGGTGCAGCAAGCGCCCATGAGTGTCTTGGCCCTTTCTCTGGAGTCGTACGCTTTCCCTCGGGCGGTACGAAAGGGCCAGGCCGTCGCCGATGCCATTTGTACCCACGTGGGGTTGCCCGCTGGGTCGAAGTACGCCAATCGCTTCCTGAAGATTGTGCTGTATCCAATCCTAGACGTCGTGGCCCGATGGCCAGGGGCCAAACTGGAGATCACGAAGTTTGTGGACGACTTAGCCCTGCGGATGGTGGGCAGGAGCGCACAGTTGAAGGCGATCTTCCCCGACCTAGCCCGCACCCTCATACGCCTTTTGGAGTCGCTGCTGCAGCTCAAGGTCTCGAAGGGTGAGGGAGGCAAGTCTAAGTTCGTATCCAGCGACGGCACCTTGGCACAGGAGCTGGCACAGCCCATGGCGGACATCGGCCTGCAGCACGGTGAGAGCGAGCGCTGGTTGGGCGTGGACTACCAACCCCAGGGCCCTCGGAAGAAGGCCACCAGAGCCAGACGGGTCCAGACTGCCCGAGGCCGCTGGCACAAGGCGGCGGCCCTCAAGCGCAGAGGGGTGAGGGTGCGCCCTGTGGTGCAGCAAGGCCTCAAAGCGTCAGTGGCGTATGGGGCGACCTGCGCTGGCACTCCTCCTGCAGTCCTCAAGTTCGTCATGGCCAAGACAGCTGCCGTGCGCGCGGGGGCTGGGACATTTCGTTCGGGCACCTTGGGCTGGGCGATCGCGCCGAGGACGGACGGCGCCGAGCAGCTCAGGATCGCCCCTCTTCGGGCATGGCTGCGCGAGGCCTGGGACCAGCCCGAGAGACGGAAGGAGATGGCCCACGCGTGGGGGCGTCAGTGGCCCAAGGTGCAGCGTGCCCTCACCTATGGCCCCGCCAAGTTCGACGCCTGGAAGATTGTGCGGGGGCCAGCGGCGGCCACCATTCTGACGGTGCACGAGCTGGGTTGGCACATGGAGGACGCCTGGACCATCCTCGACGGCGTCCACGGCAAGTGGGACATCCGCGAGGTCGCCCCCCTCGAGATCCTGCGTGCTGCAGAGAGGGCGGTCGCAAAGAAGAAGCTCATGGACTGGGCGCTAGCTGATGAGGAGCGCCAGCCGCTCCGACCCACTCCCTTCCTGCTGCCAGTCAAGCAGCTCATGCGCTCCAAGACCACGGAGACCTGGACGAGGCACCACATCAACAGTGCCAGGACGGTCGCGCTGGAGGCTACCCTGTGCAGACGGTGTGCTACGAGCGCGGCCAGGTCACGAGCCCTCTGTGCCCTTTGTGCGGCAAGAAGAAGGGCACGTTGATGCATGTGTATTTTCTTTGTGATGCAGACGTGTGCGTCACGATTCGGGATGGGCTCACGGAGCCGACTCTCAAGAACAGTTTTCGGGACGTGGTGCACTTGGGCGAGACGGCCGCCACGAAGGAGGAGCAGGGCTGCAGAGGCGGCGACACGCTTTTCTGGAAATGGGCTCGCGGCCTGATCGCAGACCCCGTGGCCGAGTACCAGGTGCCCACGCCGCCCGACGAGTACCAGTGGGGCGATCCTGACGGCGAGATGGTGCTGTCGGGCTGGGTGGCCACGGACGGATGCGTCCTGTCCCCCGACGTGGAGGAGATATCCACGGGAGGCTTCGCCGCCATCACCTGGAGCGCTGAAAAGAAATGTGAGATCCAGTCATTGTTCGGTGCTGTGCCAGTCGCGAGGCCCACGTCGGCCCACTGTGAGATTTGGGCTGTGTACCAGGCTGTAAAGCACTCGGTAGGGCTCGTAGGGCTCCTGTTAGATAGCAAGCAGGTTGTTCAGGGGCTCTTGGCGGGCAAAGAATTTTGTGTGAATAGCGAGCAGATAACCGCGCACCTGTGGAAGCTTGTTTGGGATGCCCTGGAGGATCAGTGCCTCATCCCAGGGGGGTCCCTCCAAGTTGTCAAGATTAAGTCTCACATGACCAAGGCCCAAAGAGCCTGTCTATCGGGTGAGAGTCTTGTGCATTTTGATATGAATAGGTGTGCTGACGCTCGTGCAAGAGAGGGAGCTGACCCCTATGCCGCCCCAAAGTGGAAGGTGGAACAGGTCCAGCAGTGTCTTAAATTTCAGAAGAGGCTGCTACAATATGCAGCGTCTTTCAGAGTGGATCTTAGTGAAGCCAAAGCTACCACCACGAGCCTGCCGTCGCCTGCTGGTCGGACTCGGAGGAGTGAACGTGTCGCCCGCCCTATGGCAGTCGCGCCTGAGCGGGCCCATCGTTTTAGGCTCCTTGAGGGTGGTAAGTGGCAGTGTCTGGAGTGCTCTCGCCTCGTCCGCGTGGCCGCTCGTCTCAGCTTGGCCAAGCGGGAGTTGTGCCCTGGATGGGGGGGGGGCCATTTCAAAAGGCAGGGCCCGTTTGAAAGTCAAGGCCCTGGTCCACGGCGAGTGTGTGACGGACCAGATCCGAGCAGCTGCGGCTGAGAGGGCCGCGGAAGCAAGGGGGTCTGGGTCCCAGGTTTCACTTCCACCCCCACCTCGGGAACACGAAGTGGTTGAGATGGTGGGTTATGCTGTGTGCCGAATTTGTGGGGCTTTCGCCCGTTCCCGAGCCCAGAAGTTGTTGCGGGAATGCGAGGGCCCTTTGACGAAGGGTATTGCCGCCCATCGGTGGCGGAAACTCTATCGTGATCGAATCCTGGACGGTAAGAATCCGTACACGGGAAAGCCCGTGCGAGAGCAGGATTGACCTGTTTGGCCAAGGTGATGTGTGGTCCTGAGGCCCATCCCCAAGAGCCCCCCAGTCAAAAAGAGGAGGAGGAGGAGGAGGAGGAGGAGGGAGGAGGGGGAGGTGAAGGAGGAGGAGGAGGAGGAGGAGGAGGAGGAGGAGGAGGAGGGGGAGGGGGGGAGGAGGAGGAGGAGGAGGGAGGAGGAGGAGGAGGAGGAGGAGGAGGAGGAGGAGGAGGCAGAGGAGGAGCAGGAGGAGGAGGGGAGCAGGAGGAGTAAGAGGAGCGGAGGAGGAGAAGGAGGAGGCGGAGGAGGAGGAGGAGGAGGAGGGGAGGAGGAGCAGGAGGAGCAGGAGGAGGAGGAGAGGAGGAGGGGAGGAGGAGGAGGGGGAGGGGGAGGAGGAGGAGGAGGAGGAGGAGGACGAGGAGGAGGAGGTGGAGGAGGGGGAGGAGGAGGAGGAGGAGGAGGAGGAGGAGGAGGAGGAGGAGGAGGAGGAGGAGAGGAGGAGGAACCAGTAGGAGGATATGGAGGAGGAGGAGGAGGAGGAGGAGGAGGAGGGCGGATTGAGGGCATACATGTTTGAGTGGTTTTGAATTCTTCTGGGGCTTCAGAGGGCCCTTCACACGGCTGAAGCCACCTCGGCTTCCTGGACCCGATATGTTCCAGGAGAGGTCAGCCGCGGATTTTAGAAGGGGTAAAGGGGATAGGGAGGATGAGGTTTTCGGCCGGTGCGCACAGCCTTCGACTGTCTTTTGATGTCTTCGGTAGCGGGGGGGGAGGGGCGGACGAGGTGGAGAGGACCACGTTGCTTTTCGTATGATGCTTGCTATGATGGTATCGCGCGTGCTTCCTTGCTCATTGATCAGGTACTTGATGCCAATGGCACATCTGCTTGAAATGTTAATATTGGTTTCGCGCGGTATTACTTGGACGAATTTGGAGGCCATTTGGGGCCATCTGGGCTGTCTTGGATGGAAGCCGCCTTAAACCGTCTTGGGGGACTTTTCGCGGACATTGAGGTCGTTTGTCGTAGTTTTTGTTTTTTTTTTCGGGGTGGCCGGCGGGACGGGCCGAGGCGGCAGGGGGAGTTCTTTTGGAAAGAAAACCAAAACCAAAAGTGGTAACATCTAGCACGCCAGGCATCCTTGTGATGAATCAACAGGGGGGCGGAGGATCGAAGACGCCTACGGCGAATCACCGCCGCCCCCTGCCTTTTTGGAAGCGCCTATGTGGCCGAACGGTGAGTCCAGACCTGCCAAGCCATCGGACCATGTGGTCCCCGAATCGGTTTGGAAAGCCTTCGGGGAACACGTGGGCATCTTTGAAGGTCACCTTGGCCGTCGTGGAGGGCTCTTGGGCGATCTTTCGGCGATCTTTGGGGGCTCTTGGGCCATCTCGGGCCGTCGGAAGGCCGAAAAGAAGCACATTCAAAAATCCGTCAAAAACCTAAGGAACATCAATGTTTTTGGCCTCTTCGGGCCTTCCTGGAGGCCCTCTTGGAGGCCTCTTGGGCCGTCGGGGGCCAGCTTCGAGCCAACTTCGGCCATCTTGGTGGGTTCCTGGCACGTTTGACGCCGTCGGGAGCCGTCTTGGGGGCCTTTCTGGGCCAACGGGGCACCCTCTTGGGGCGCTTCGGGGCCGTCTTGGAGGCAATCTTGGGCGTCTTGGAGGCCATCTTGGGCGTGTTGAAGGCCTCTTGGGCCGTCTTGGGGCCCTCTTGGGGCCATCTTGGAGGCCACTTGGGCCGTCATGGGGCCCTCTTGGGGGCCTCTTGGTCGATCTTGGGGGCCTCTTGGGCTGTCTTGAGCCGTCGGAATGCCGAGAAGGCGCAAATGCCAAAATCCTTCAAAAATCTAAGGAAAATCAATGATTTCGGCCTCTTCGGGCCCTCCTGGAGGACCTCTTGGAGGCCTCTTGGGCCGTCTGGGAGGCCTTGGGGGGCCTCTTGGGCCGTCTTGGACTCTCTTGGGCCGTCTTGGAGGCCGTCTTGGACCATCTTGGGCGGACTTGGAGGCCATCTTGGACCATCTTGGAGCCATCTTGGGCCATCTTGGCCATCTTGGACGCCATCTTGATCCGTCTTGGAGGATTTTTTTCCGGATTGAGCACCTTTCCGGGTGGCCGGCGGGACGGGCCGAAGCCCCAGGGGGAGTTCTTTTGGAAAAAGAACCAAAACCAAAACCGATAGGATCCGGCACGCCAGGCACCCGTGCGATGAATCGACAGGTGGCGGCGGATCTAGTGGCTTTCGGCTCATCCCGCTACCGTGTCTAGGACAAGAAGAAGAGGGTATTGGAGGCTCTGTGGGATCTCTCAAGAGGCCTCTCGGGGTATCTTAGGAGCCTTTAGTGGCTTCCTGAGGGCCTCTGGGGGCCTTCTTTGGACCTCATGAGGGCCTGGAGAAGGTCTCGGGGGCAATCTTGGGGTGTAGGGCCCCAACGGCCCAATCAAGATCCCCTTGCTGGCTATGCTCTTCTTGGGGACCGCTTAGGGGCCTCTTAGGCTCTGTCTTGGGGCTTTGGGCCCGTGTTGAGGCTCTCTTGGGAGCCTCTTGGATCATCGTGGATACGTTTTCAAATTATTTTAGCTTCTTTGGGCCAGCCCCCAGGGTCTCACAGACGGCCCACGAGGCCCCCAAGGAAGCCCCAGGACGGCCCCATGAGATCACCTTAGGGCACGTTGGAAGCTTGGATTCCGAACCACGCTCCAGTGGCATCATGAAAGTCAGGACGGTGGATGAAAGAGAGCCCAGAAGCGAACAAGAATTATGGAATTTCTGGGGTGTGGGCACTAGTAAGAGCATGCACGGCGCGGGTGTCCTCCACAAACGAGAGACAAGGCTAAGGGGCCCGCCTCAAACGCCACAAGCAGAGTTCGCCCGACAGCATACCGCATCTGCTGTTCGCTTGCTCCGCGCTGCCGAGGTTGGCGGTGCATCCACGGTTCATTGGCGCGCCCATTCGCTTCCAGAAGTTTCGGAGGAGTGCAGGCATGACCGCAGGGTGCATCATGCTTGAGAAGGTGGATTGGGCCACTCGAGAAGGTTGACAGTGAGAAAGGCTCCCAGATAGATACAGATCAGGCTGAGAGGGCGCAAGTGGGGATGAGGGACAGAGCGCGGTGGGCGATGGAAAGCCTGAACGCAGTCATTCCATAGACTCAGTCATTCATCGATTTGGGTCACCGCGCTCTACGTATGTTGTCTCCGGTACGCAAGCTCTCACCAAAGGTACATGATAAATCCCACATGCTGTTGCTGCAGTCACTCAGGGGCTTCCTTTTCTGTCAGGCTCTGCCAGGGACTGCTGACCATTCGAGCTGCACTCGCGCAGGAGGCAGGCAGGCAGGCATGAAGCAAGAGTTGGATGTCCGGTTGCCCCAGTGCTCACTGATGCTGCCCACTATGCGTGAGTGTAGACAGACCCGGGGCCGTAAGAGGTGCCACCGCCAGCGATGCCCGAGCTGAGTTCGTTTGACGAGGCCGCCTCACTCTCGACACTTGTGATGACGACGACGATGGTGACGATATTGGGATTGCGCAGATGGTTGAGATGTTTTTGATGATAAGAAAGGAGTGAGGGTGAGAAGAGATTTGTGACGGCGGCGGTGGCGATGAGAACGATCCGCCACTCTCCCACTTCTGCGCCCCAGCGAAGACGACGAACATGACGACGACCTGCCCTGCCGGCCAGAGAGGGACCCCGCCTGGTTCTGGCTCCCACCCTCCGCGCTCCCTCCCCGCCCGCAGCTTGCTGTCCCCCTTACACTCCAAAACATTTGTTGGTTTTCCTTCCCAACAGGATCACGGAAACCAGGGTTGCTGAATTGCGTGTCGGACCTCATCCACGAAGAGGCCGTTGAGCACGGCCAACACGGATGCTAAAATCTTTTCCGCATGTACGGATTTTGGCCTGGATTGAATCGGAGTTCCTTGCGCAAATTGAAGTGTCACAGACCCATGCGGATGATTTTTGATCTGGACTCGGATGCCCGTGTGATGGCATTGGCCCTCGTACCTGAGTGGGTGATGTGTCTGACGGGTGCCGTCGGCCTCGCGTTGGCACTTCTCCGAGCGTCGCATGTCTGTGGTCGATGCACAGTTCGACGAGCCCGAAGCAGATGTTCTTCGAGGACATTCCGGAGGTTGCACGACGTCTTTAATATATCATGGGATTCGGATCGGCGAGGGGGCTGAGGGCTGTGCTCGGGATAGCACGATTGTGAAGCTTCGGAAGAGGGCTCCAGATATCAGGGACTTGGGCACGGGCTTGGCACCATTCGTCGTTGTATGGCGATGTTTCTGCATGTGGGTGCTGTAGTTTTTATCATACGCCGTCGAAAGTGCGGATAACACACACACACACCTTTAAAGCGTGTTTTCGGCTGCTCATGGTTGGGCCTGACAATGATCATTCTTTGGATGTTTGCACAGACTTCACCAAGTTCGGTCTGCCGCTCGAGTTTCCACACGCGACCCAGATTGCTGCTGCTACGCGTGCCAGAGATTTCCAGATGTTCTTGAGCTACCCCTCCTTCGTGGTGAACATCGAGACGTATTTCAAGACGACGACTGGTGTCCTGCTCGCCGTGTCGCTGACTAGGCTCCCACTTACTTTGTAACGTAGATGAAACCATGACTGGGTATCTTCTCAGAGATGTGACATCCTGTATGCGCGCAAGGACGTTCAGAACCAGTACGTGTCCAAGCTGAAGCGTTATTATGTTTCCGCCAGCCCCCCTGTGCTGGCCCTCCACCGCCGCGTGGGAAGTTGGTGCCTGGGTGTCACACTGTTTGGCCTGGCCCTACCTGCGACACCTGCGTCTACTCGTTCTTGCGTGTGCATTCACTTGGCAGTCTTGCAGATGCTCTCTATGTGTGTGCGTGTGCGCATGAGCGCGAGATTCCACTCCAAGCCCCGTGGGTGTCTGATGTGCTGTGTCCCGTGCTCCCGGGACCTTGACGGCATGAAACACGTTTGGATTGTCCTCATCTTCGCAAGCGGTTTGATTCTTGGATGGGCATGTGGGCTCCGAGGTCTCCGGGGGGTTCCGCCTGGCTCTCCTTCCTGCCGCTTGCTTCAGAACGCACACGACCTGGGGGGGTGCCGTGGAGCACGGATACACGAGCGCTGCAGCTGGGAATGGGAAATCAGCTCCTCCATTCCCCGGCCCTCCTCATGGCAGTGCACGCATGAGCAGGCGCATGTGCATGACTGGGGCATCCCCAGCCGGCAGCTTGGAAGACACAGGAAGTACCCAGTTTTACGTGGCTTCCACTTGGGCCTTTCGAGTGCTGCCCATCGGTCAGCACCATAGACTCTGATCGGCACTGGCCCGCGACATGGTCGTAAATTTGTGGCGTGCTGAGTTCTGAAGCAGCTGCTGAAGAGCTGGTTACAGGTTTAGTAATAATTCGTAGCATGAGCGACACCATTCCTCTGCAGATTGCAAATGGACCCCAACAAAAAAACACACAATCCGCTGTTGACTGGGGACGTTTGAGCGTCATAGTCCCAGAGCCGCGCTCATTTTCTGCATCGGGACAGAGACCGCCAAAGAAAGCAGTAGCGAATGTTCAGTCGGAGCGCGAAACAACACGATGAACGCATGAACTGCGCGGTAGATGTTTCCCATGTCGACCTCTCCATCATGCAGACGTTGGTCCGCTTCGCAAACCATTGTGTTCGTCAGAGCGCTGCCACGCTCACATTGAGCATGTATTGCTTCGCCCCAAATTATCGGATATATTTCGCTCATAATGCACCTAGCCTTCGGTTCTTTATTGCTGAGCATCCATGCGCGTGGCATTCGCTTCGGATTCTCTCACAGCCGGTAGTTTTATTTCTCAGTTTCTGCGTTTTTCGCGCTTTTCTTCCGCAGTTTTCTCGTCCTCCTCGCCTGCTGGGTCCCCGTCCTCTTCCTTGGCATCGCTTGGACGTTTCATTTTTCCAGCGAGGTTTGCGCCAAGAATTCCGGACCATCTTGGAGCATCTTCGACCATTTTGGGGGGAAAACGCAAACGAAACCAAACCATGCATTTGGAATTCACGTCTGGGCGATGGCAGGCCTCTTGTTGTTCGTCCGTTTCTCCCACGTATGTTTGGTCAGTCAGCCCAGGCCCCCCCCCCCCCAGAAGAGATCTCAGCACCTTCCCGAGCACCACTTTCAAGGGGCGGGCGAGCTCTCAGCTTCCACCCGGCTGCAACACGGCCCCGCCATGAAGATGCCGCGTCGGTTCTCTATGTTCCCCTCCCGCAGCAAAGAGGCGAATCTGTAATCACCATCTTGTCTTTCCTCGCCCTCTTCCCCTGCAGAGTCTACCCCCATACCTCGGCCAGAGTGCGTTCTGGACAGGATTTCGAAGCGGGTTCAGCCGTGGCCGTGAGGGCCCCCGGGGCCCCACAGAGGGGGAAGACGCGAGCACCCCCTCCCTCGCAGGCCCCCCAAAGGGGCAAATTCGAGAGCGATCTTTCTGGTCGTCTCCTCGCTTTTTCTGGCCTCCCGATCCCGATGTGCAGCACCACGTGTGCAGCATCACATGACACCCACGCAGGATCACGATCACTCCCCCATTACAGTGGAGGCCCATGCCAGGAAGCACCCTGCTTGCCTCAAGGGTGCCCTGGATTTCTTGGGCCTCGATGCTTCTGCTGCGGAGAGCGTGGCGCTCCCGCACCCGAAACCAGTGGACGCCCTGGGGTCTCAGGGCTGGGTCTCTTGCGGCGGAGGACAAACAAGGATGGGGAGGAGGAGGAGGAGGAGGAGGAGGAGGAGGAGGAGGAAGAGGAGAGGAGGAGGAGGAGGAGCAAGGAGGAGGAGAGGAGGAGGAGGAGGAGGAGGAGAGGAGAAGGAGAAGGAGGACGAGGAGGAGGAGGAGGAGGAGGAGGAGAGAAGGAGGAGGAGGAGGAGGAGGAGGAGGGGGGAGGAGGAGGGGGAGGGGGAGGGGGAGGGGGAGGAGGAGGAGGAGGAGGAGGAGGAGGAGGAGGAGGAGGAGGAGGAGGAGGAGGAGGAGCAGGAGCAGGAGCAAGGAGGAGGAGGAGGGCCCTCGCATCCTCTGCTGCACGTCCTCCCTCCCGGCCCTCCCCACGCCGACTTCGACCACGATCACCGCGGGCTCTCCGCCCGCGCAGCCCCGAGGTGCCCCCCCATCCTGTGCGGCCACTAGGGGGTCTCCCCACGCGGTGCGGGGACCGCGCCGGGTGCGGCGTCCGTGGGTTTCTTTTTGTGGTCGCCGAGCGATTCTGGGATTGGGTCGTGCTCCGAGGAAGTCTCGAGCGGCTGAAGCCTCCGAGGTCCCAAACATCCGACGAGGGCAGCTGTACACCACCACCTTGCCAGGCCAGGGCCATCCTGGGCCCCAGGATGGTGTGTAGACCCTCCTGGCCTCGGCCACGAGGAAGTATACACCATCCTCGGGCCCAGGATGGCCCTGGCCTGGCACGGTGGAGGTGCATAGATGCTTTCTGCGTAAAAATTATGCTAACGGAGTTCCCCACATAAGGATGTTACGGGGTTGGCGGGATCACGAAAGCAGCATCGTCAGCAGCATCATCATCAGCCGCGTCATCGTCAGCATAGCCATGCTCATTATCATTATACCATCATGGTCATTATCATCATCATGATCATTATGATTATGATAATGGTTGTGGTCCTCATCATCGTCAACGTCACAGTCGTCATCATCATCACCATCATCATCACCAGCATCAGTATCAGCATCACCATCACCACCATGCTGATGATGATCATCATCACTATCATCATCAGCAGCATCAGCGTCGTCATCATCATCTGCATATTCATCTTCATAGTCGTCTTCATCTGCATCTTCATCTCAATGTTCATCTTCATCATCAGCAGCATCATCATCATCGTCGTCGTCGTTGGCATCGTCATCGTCATCGTCATCATGACCATCTCCACCATCATCACCATCAACCCTTCCTCATCGCCGAACTTCCCCTCCTCGCTCAGGCGGGGCCTCCCTTGAGGAGTGGGAGGGGCACGAAACCTTGTAAATAGTATGGTTTGGGGATGCCCTCCTCGCTCAGGCGGGGCCTCCCTGGAGGAGTGGGAGGGGCACGAAACCTGGTAAACAGTATGGTTTTGGAAAACCTTCCTCGCTCAGGCGGGGCCTCCCTAGAGAGGTGGGAGGAGCACGAAACCGTGTAAATAATTTGGTGTTCGGATGCCCTCCTCGCTCAAGTTGGACCTCCCTGGAGGGGTAAGACGGGACACGACACCTTGTAAATCATATGGTTTGGGGATACCCTCCTCGCTCAAGCTGGGCCTCTCTGGAGGGGCGGGAGGGGCACGAAACCTTGTAAATAATATGGTTCGGGGATACCCTCCTCGCTCAGGCGGGGCCTGTCTGGAGGGGTGGGAGGGGCACGAAACCTTGTAAATAATATGGTTCGGGGATACCCTCCTCGCTCAGGCGGGGCCTGTCTGGAGGGGTGGGAGGGGCACGACACCATGTAAATCGTATGGTTTGGGGATACCCTCCTCGCTCAGGCGGGGCCTGCTTGGAGGAGTGGGAGGGGCACGAAACCTTGTAAGTAGTATGGCGTTCGGATACCCTCCTCGTTAGGGCGGACCTCCCTGGAGGGGTGGGGGGGGGGCACTAAACCTTGTAAGTCATATGGTGGTGGGATGCCCTCCTCGCTCGGGCGGGGCCTCCCTGGAGGGGTGGGAGGGGCACGGCACAGTGTAAATACTTGGTTTGGGGATACCTTCTTCGCTCGGGCGGAGCCTGCCTGGAGGGGTGGGGGGGGCACGAAACCTGGTAACTGGTTTGGCTTTGGGATACCATCCTCGCTCGGGCGGGGCCCCCTTGGAGAGCTGGGAGGGGCACGACACCTTGTAAATAGTATGGTTTGGGGATGCCCTCCTCGCTCAGGCGGGGCCTGCTTGGAGGGGTGGGAGGGGCACGAAACTTTGTAAATAGTATGGTTTGGGGATGCCCTCCTCGCTCAGGCGGGGCCTGCTTGGAGGGGTGGGAGGGGCACGAAACCTTGTAAATAGTATGGATTGGGGATGCTCTCCTCGCTCAGGCGGGGCCTGCTTGGAGGGGTGAGAGGGGCACGAAGCATAGTAAATAGTATGATTTCGGGATACCCTCCTCGCTCAGGCGGGGCCTGCTTGGAGGGGTGGGAGGGGCACGACACCTTGTAAATAGTATGGTTTGAAGATGCCCTCCTCGCTCAGGCGGTGCCTGCCTTGAGGGGTGGGAGGGGCACGACACCTTGTAAATAGTACGGTTTGGGGATGCCCTCCTCACTCAGGCGGGGGGCTGGGAGGGGCACGGAACCTTGTAAATAGTATGGTTTGGGGATGCCCTCCTCGCTCAGGCGGGGCCTCCCTGGAGGGGTGGTACGGTAGGGATGCGGTAGGATAAGGTATATATTAGTATGCTTTGCGAATACGGTAGGTATGGTATGGCAGGTATGGTAGATTATAACACGTATGGTATGGTAGGGATGGCAGGTAATACGATAGGTATGGTATAGCAGGTACGGTATAGTATAAGACGTATGGTATGGCTGGTATGGTATGGTATAGTACAATACGTACTAGTATAGTGCGTATGGTATTGGTAGGGTATGGCAGGTATGGTGTGGTATAGGTGAAGGGAGCGGAGAAGGAGGAGAAGGAGAAGGAGAGGGTGGTCTAGGAAAACAAGAACCCCACTCAGGATGTGGGGGAATCCGTACTTTGACGGAGTGTGCGGGGAGGTCGACAGGATTCCGAGGTCACCGCGCGGTCCGTCACCGCACCGCGTAGGGACCCTCCAGCCGGTGCACTCTGGGGGAAACCGAAGGGTACCGATACTGCCACTCCCTGGACCTCTCCTGGGGCGCGTCTTGACCAGCATTTCGAGGCGAACCCAGCGGTGGCGACGAGGGGCACCCGGGAAGGCCTCCAGGGGGAACACGAGCGAAGGGTACCAGTAGAGAGCCTTTTCCCTCCTTCGAGCTCCGCTCCGCTCCCCCCCCCCTTTTCGGATGCAGCGCCTGGGAGGTCAACTTCTGACTCTGCCCTTGTCCTAATCCGGCTAAGTTCCGCTGAATCCGGCTTGATCCCGCTCAGTCCCGCGGGACCCGCGGCCAGAGCCGACGCAGCAGCCCCCCAGAGAGGCTCAATCATTCAGAACTTTTGCCGCGACGACCTCCCAGCAGTCGCCTCCTGACCCCCGAGAGCGGCCCCCGCCCCTATTCGGCCACGCGCAGACGGGGATGGGGGGAGGGGGGGGAGGGCTTCTTAGAAGCACCCCTGCTTCTTGGAAGGCGCGGGCCTCATCTGTAGATGTAAGGCCGGCGCCTTCCAAGACGCAGCCTCCCTCTAAGAAGCCCTCCCCCTCCCCCCACCCCCTCGCGCGCGCTGCCAACCTATCGCCGCGAGGTCGGGCACAGCCTGCTGATCCAGTGGCCCACGGCGGCCCCTGCGCCCGCATCACCCGCGCGCGCCGCTCGCCGCTCGCCGCCTGCCGCCCTGCACGCCGCCCGTCGCCCGTCGCCGTCGCTCCGACTGCTCAGTCCTCCTCCTCCTC